TGATTCGAATCGTCATCATACCATAACCTAAATAGCGACCCTGTGTGCGTGACTTTGTGTGAGGTGAGGTGTGAGGAGGGGTCGGCGCTGTCATAGTTTGTATTCACTGCGTGCGGCTTCCCATATGCGCACCTATTCGCATGGACCTGTCCGCCGTTTTTGTCTAGGCACAAGAGTTTTCGACTATAGACGGGCTTGAGAGATTGCCGCCGCGCACTTTTCACATAATGGCGCCACGGCGCCCGCCTGCAGCGCCCCCGCCGGCGTGCACTTCGCAGGTCCGAGTCCAAGTCCGAGTCCGAGACGGGCTTGAATATTTACGGCCTGGGAGCGAATCGAAGTGCGAATGAATTGGAGCGCAAATCACTATCAGTAGTACGAGTGCGTCTCTGCGCATGAGCCTGGGGCCTCCTTGGCCCTCCTGAAACCTCCTCGGGGGTCCTGGGGCCTCTTGGGGCATCCTGGAGCCTCGTGGTGTTTCCTGTGGCTTCCCAAAGCCTCCTAGAGCCTCCTGTAGCCGTTACCCTCTGTGGCCCCCGGGAGCAGCCTGGAACCTCATGATGGTTCCTGGGGTTCCCGGTGGCCTCCTGGAGCCTCTTGGGGCCTCCTGAGGATTCTTGGGGTTGCCTGGGGCTCCAGAAGCCGCCTGGGGCCTCCTGGAAGCTCCTGGGGGTTCCTGGAGCCTCCTGTGGCCTCCTGGGGAAGATCCGTGCCCACGGGTCTGGCCAGCAAAGCAAGCGAACCGCTCTGTACAGCATCGCAGTCTGACCCCCAAGGGGTGCGAAAACCAGCGTCCCGCTCGAGGCATCTTCAGAATCTGCTCCGAAAGCGGAGGATATTGATGATGCGAAACAGGCACACCGCTCGAGACATCTGCTCCGCCACCATCGCTATCACCCTCACCATCACCATCACCATCACCTTCGCTATCGTAATCACTATCATGATCATCACCAGCATCATCATCAGCAGTGTCGTCGTCGCTTTCATCATCATCATCGTCATCCTCACCATCATCAGCATCATCATCGACATCATCACCATCACCATCATCACCATCATCATCACAATCAGCACCATCACCATCAGCAACACCATAAGATTGATCACCATCGTCAACATCGCCATCACCGTCATCGTCAGCATCGTCATCCTCGTCATCGTCATCGGCATCACCGTCGCGATCACCATCGTAATTATCATCATCTGATGATAACATCATAGCATCACCTGCGTATTGGTCCTGAGTGTGACTCAGGGTGAGAAGGACGAGGAGGAGGAAAAATGCACGCGGCGGGGGGGGGAGCGCGGGTCCGCGAAGCCCCTCTACCCGATGTCGGCCAACCCTGGCCTACCACGCCAGCGGAGCTGCTTCAGACGTGCAGCGCTCCGCTTGGCCAGCCCCGACCTCTCCCTGGAAAGTGAAAGACGGGGCGCGCAGCGCAGGTCATGATAACACAGCACAGCAATGTCTATATAGAGGGCACTGTACAATAATTGAAGATTGGACGCATCGAAAGTCCAAAGGAAGATAGCGGCCCTCTCCTTCCCCGAAGATTCCGAAAACAACAGGAGGGGAAATCCAGGATATCATTCAGGCAACCGAAAACAGCGGGGCAATCTAGATAATGTAACAAAGAGTCAGAGCAGGCAGCACGGCAGAAAACGCAATCACGGGTGGAGCCTCTAAATCGATCCGATGAAAATCCATGAGCTTGGCTTGTTCATGCGATAGAGCAAGGCCGCGCGATACTCCCGGGGGGCCTGAAAGCGGAGCCACTCCAGAATTTGACTCTGGATCCCTGGCGCCCTGGAGGAGGAGCAATCGGAATGGTACATATCTCACCAAAGTTCGACATGACGGCGTACATAGAGGTGCCCCGCCACAAAGGATGAGAACGCCACGCAATGTTGCACTCGTCACTCTCGGCCTCGCCCTCGCTCTAAAGAACTTGATCGAGCTGCATGCAAGCCGATGCAGGTTGGCCCGCGAGACGATATCCAACCGACGCACCTGACATGGGAGGCCGAACTCCTTCAGACCCTCGAGCATAACAGGGCTGACGGCGTCGTTGGGGCCACCAACCAGGGCGTGACCATCCGCGCACACATATTGGCAAACAGCTGCATCGCGCACGAAAGGCAGCTGAAGGCGTTATGATTGAAGATGGCGACGCTTTTGGCAAGGCCTAACCCTAGAGCTTTCAAGCAACCATCTTTTCCAATATTGACTCCCAACTATTTAGCTGAGGCCGCGACTTTAAACTCCAAGGGGGGCCCTGCAGCAATCATGAGGGGCACAAACTTATTTGGAGCCAAAGTTCGGAGCGAGATCATGAACGTCTTAGACATATTGAGCTCCGGACCAGCAGCCAGGGCACTGCGCTGAAAGACGGGCCGGAGCAGCGCCAAAGCTTTAAACGCGTCTTGCGCGATCAGGCCGATGTCGTCGGCGTAAGCCGCTAGGACTGAAGGCGAGCGAGACAGCCGAGACTCCAACATGCGTGGGACGGGCACCCATGCAGAGAACGAAAAGCGACGATGAAAGAGGGCATCCCTGTTTCATGCCACGTCGAACCCACCACCCTTCCTCTGGAGGCCCACAGAAGTTGATAGAGACCCAAACGTCACGATGCAGCGCAGCGGCGGCCCGACGAACTTTAACAAGAAAGCACACCTCTTTAAGAATGAAGCGGATCATGGCGCGCAGAAGCAACGGAAATGCTGCGCAGATGTCAAACGTGACACATCCTGTGTGCTGTAAACCGTCCTGGAGAAACAATTCAACAGCCCGAGACTCCAGAGGGAAGTGCCTCCCAGGGACAAACCGCGTTGAATTTCAGAGCGCGCCTGCTAAAGGACTCGAGCGACAGGTCGGTTGATAGCACGGCTGATCAGTTTGTTGTCGGAGTTGCCCAGGGTCATCAATCTCTTCTGCGCGGGTTCACGAAAGACCGCGTCGACAGCATCATCATATGGGCAATCTCATTTCGGAAGAAAAACTCCAGCACCATGGTTGAACTTGTCGGGCGACAAACCAGACACGTACAGCTCCTGCTAAACGTTAAATCATGGCTCCATCGTAAGAGTACCACCTCGAGCCCACGCTGAGTATGGTATGCCATCAGGACCAAGACACTTCCGTTTGGCAGAGGATGCAGACGAACAGAATTCGTCAAACTCAAGTTCCCAACACATCAGAAGCGGCACGTTTTGAATGAAGGGTAGCAAGTCACGACGACGCTGGGTTTCACCCACAGAGAAGGCGTGCACATGGCCCCAGTGGGCGGCAAGCTGACGGGCAACTGCTTGAGGATCGGCAAGCTGCATGCCAGTAGGATCTGAGACTCCAGACGAAGTGATGCGTCGCCTCCGAGAGCCCCAAGCACAGAGGTAAAAGGTGAGCTTGGCTTTGATGGCTTGTTTTTTGTGGGCAGGAATGTCGGAGGTTCCGGCTTCACTCAGTTGCTCTTCAAGCTGAGCGGTCTGCATGCGATTAAGATGAGCGTGAAATCCTAAAAGATCCTTCCACATGCACGGGTGACTGCAAATAAGCTCGCTGAGTTCGGGAGAGGCCAGCAGAGCACGCTGACGAAAGACAAGACGCACCTGTCGAAGACTACGCATGGCAGACAAGACCCAGCGCACCTTTCCGTCAAGAGAGAGGGGGGGCCTCCAGAACGGGCGAACTCAATAACAAGTTTGACTGCAACTTTTATCACGTCTTTGATCTCCCCAAGAGCGGCGTTCGGGTCAGGATCCAGAGGGCCTGCCGAGCCCAAGGTCTCCCGAAAGAGCTGGGGGTACTTCTGGTGTGCCTGGTGACCCAAAACCGGATCCGAAAACCTCCCGACTGAGGAACACAAAGCAGAAGAGCAACGGGCGCATGATCAGATAGAGGCAAATTACACATGGGAGCCCACAAGACAAAGCCATTCGGCTTCTAGTCCAGCAGCACCGCGCTAGGAATGTTACAATATATTATATCCAGACGCCCAAGAGACGCAAAAACACGGCGCTCGCCATAGCAGCCCATCACACAATGGATTAAATGAACTTGCTCTACTTCACACAGCTGCGAAAAGATCTCGCTGAAGATTGCCGAGAGGCTGCTGGTCCTGTACCTCACCTCCAAGAAGAAATATGGTAGGAGGAGGAGGAGGAAGTTATATGAGTCGGCGCGGTCGGAGCAATAACAATAGCCCCATCCTCTTCGGATACAGGGAGTAGCAAGAACCCCATATGTTGGATATGGGTGTAAGAACACACAGACACAATGAATCGTCGATCCCCAAGAAAATATCGGAAAGTATGGGAAGTGGGGGGGAAGACGAAAATCCAGACCACATGGAAAAGAGAGAGAGAGAGAGAACCCTGGGATTGGGGTACCTCTACTTGTGTGCCCCTGGGCCCCTGCAATCACTGAGGAACGCTGACTCGGGAACGAAGGGGCTCTGCTGGCCGCGGCGAGCCTCGGCCACGAGCCGGCCCCCAACCGACCTGGATCTCGGGGCGGCCCGAGAGCCAGAAACCCTGCCGCGGCGTCGTGCTTGCACCGCTCCCCGCACTGGAGGAAGAGAAGACGGCAGAAACACAAACTGCCGACGGTCCACGCGGATCTCTCGGGTCTGGGGCGGCGCCGGAGGCGCCGCCAGGGTGCCCAGCGCAGATCCAAGAAATCCGAACAAACCGTCGAAAGTTGATTACTGAAGGGGCCCAGGGGCACACAAATAAATAGACACAAATCCCAGGATTCCCCCTATTCCTCCATATGTTCTGGATTCGCATATTCCCCACCACTTCCCATAGTTTCCCATACTTTCCTGGGGATCGACGATTGATTGTGTCTGTATGTTGTTGCCCTCCTGACTTATGCTGGAGCAATTTGTTCCTCTTCGTCGGATCCTCCTCCACCGTGGGGCACCAGGCGCCCCCGCGCGGGGCCCGCCGAGCCGCGCCCCCAGGGAGGGAAGGCACGGAGAGCACCCCAGCCGCCCCTCCGAGGAGCATCTGGCCCGCGACGGCCAGCTGAAGCGCGCTCATCGCCTGCCCGCCCCCGCTCCTCCTCCTCCTCCTCCTCCTCCTCCTCCTCTCCTCCTCCTCCTCCTCCTCTCCTCCTCCTCCTCCTCCTCCTCCTCCTCCTCCTCCTCCTCCTCCTCACTCCTCCTGCTCCTCACTCCTCCTCCTCCTCTCCTCTCCTCCTCCTCCTCCTCCTCCTCCTCCTCCTCCCTCCTCCTCCTCCTCCTCCTCACTCCTCCTGCTCCTCACCTCCTCCTCCTCCTCCTCCTCCTCCTCCTCCTCCTCCTCCTCCTCCGCCTCCTCCTCCTCACTCCTCCTGCTCCTCACTCTCTCTCCTCCTCCTCCTCCTCCTCCTTCCTCCTCCTCCTCCTCCCCTCCTCATCATCATCATCATCATCAGCATCATCATCATCATCATCATCATCATCATCATCAATCATCATCATCATCATCATCATCATTCATCATCATCATCATCATCATCATCATCATCATCGTCATCAGCATTATCATCATCATCATCATCATCATCATCATCATCATCATCATCATCATCATCATCATCATCATCATCAGCATCATCATCATCATCATCAGCATCAGGCATCAGCATCATCATCAGCACAATCATCATCATCATCAGCATCAGCATCATCATCTCATCATCATCGTCATCATCATCATCATCATCATCATCGCATCAGCATCATCATCATCAGCATCATCATCATCATCATCATCATATCATCATCATCATCATCATCATCATCATCATCATCATCGTCATCATCATCATCAGCATCGTCATCATCATCAGCATCATCATCATCAGCATCATCATCATCATCAGCATCATCATCATCATCAGCATCATCAGCATCCCCCTCCTCCTCCCTTTCCTTCTCCTCCTCTTCCTCCTCCTCCTCCTCCCCCTCTTCCTCCTCCCATTCCTCCTCATCCTCCTTCTCCTCCTCCTTCTCCTCCTCCTCCTCATCCTCCTCATCCTCCTACCCCTCCTCCTCCTCCCCCTCCCCCTCCTCCTCCTCCTCCTCCTCCTCCCTCCTCCTCATCCTCCTCCCCTCCTCCTCTTTCTCCTCCTCCTCCTTCTCCTCTCCTCCTCCTCCTGCTCCTCCACTCTCTCCTCCTCCTCCTCTCCTCCCTCCTTTTCACATCCTCCCGTTCCTTCTCCTCCTCCTCTCCTCCTCCTCTCCTCCTCCTCCTCTCCTCTCCTCTCCTCCCTCTCCCCCTCTTCCTTCCGTTCCTCTCCTCCTCCTCCTCCTCCTCCTCCTTCGCCTCCTGCTCGTCCTCGCTCCTCCTCCTCCTCCTCCTCCTCCTCCTCCTCCTCCTCCCTCCCCCGCCTCCTCCTTCCATCCTCCTCCTCCTCTCTGCTCCTCCTCCTCCCTCCTCCCTCCTCCTCCACCGCCTCCTCCCTCCCTCCTCCTCCTCCTCTCCTCCGCCTCATCCCCTCCCAATCCTCCTCCTCTCCTCCTCCTCCTCCTCCTCCTCCTAGTCTCCTCCATTCCTCATCATCTCATCCTCCTTATCCTCCTCCTCCTCTCTCCATCATCCTCCTTATCCTCCTCCTCCTCTCATTCCTCCTCCGCCCCCTCCTCCTCCGTTTCCTCCTTCTCCTCATCCGCATCCTCCTCCGCATCCTCACCCTCCTCATCTTCCTCCTCCTCGTCCTCCTCGTCCTCCTCCTCTTCGTCGCAGTGCTCTTCGTGTTCTTCTTAATATGAGTATGCGTCTTATGGTTTATAGTACTAAATTTTACTTTTTATTGACATTGAAATAATTCGTGGTAGTATGTGTGTTTGTATCAGGGGTACTATCATGATTATATATGTGAGAGGGCTATTGCTACACTTGTTGGTATTACTAGTATGATCACTATGTGGTATTGGCAGTTGCATGTCCAAATAGTTTCGCCAACACTATTAGTAGTATTACAACTACCATTAATAGCATTAGTAGTGGTATAATTACTGATGTTATTCATAGTATTATTTGTGGTAGTGTTAGTAGTATTACTATAATGATCATTAGTAGTAGTAGTAGTAGTAGTAGTAGTCGTCGTCGTGTTCTGCTTGTGGTTCGTCTAAGTAGTCGTCGTATTAGTGTTCGTATTAGTAGCAGCATTATTAGGATTGGTAGCCTTAGTCGGACTGGTATGCTGCTTCTTCGTGTTCGTAGTATGAGTAGCGTTCGTATTCTTAGTGGTGCGAGTCTTCTTAGTATTAATGTGATGAATCGTATGATTAGTGTTCTTATTATTAGTAGTAGCGTCATTAGTATTTGTCGTCGTCGTCTCCTCCTCCTTGTTAGTAATATGGTCAATACTATTACTAGTGGTATTGTTCGTATTAGTATTAGTATTATGATTAGTAGTAGTAGCAGTAGTAGTAGTAGTAGCAGTAGTCGTAGTAGTCGGAGGTAAGGGGGTGAGATCGAAGTGGAACGGAGAGCCCCCCTACCGGGAAATCGATGTCGGTTTCGTGTTCGTGCGTGCCGTGCGTGCGGGCGAGGCGAAGCTGCGTGGGCGGGCGAGAGAAGGTCTCCTGTGGCTGAGGTGCAGCCGGACCAAATGTGTCTCTTCCTCCTCCTCCTCCTCCTCCTCCTCCTCCTCCTCCTCCTCCTCCTCCTCCTCCTCCTCCTCCTCCTCCTCCTCTTCCGTAGCCATTTTGGCTCAAGATGCCTAGTTCCACAGTGGAACAAGTGGATACCGCTAGTCCGCGGCCAGTGCCAGGGCTCTTGAGCCCGACAGCTTTGTTCAACCCTCCGTGTGCCTCCTGCAGCCCGCAGGTGAGCTTCCCTTGTTCCTCAGCTCGTCCATGGCGCCTCCGCAGCAGCGCAGCGCCTACGTCAAGTGCTACTCCTGCTCGTACGCCTGGAACTACAAGACCAACCAGACGTGCTACTGGTGCAGCAAAGCCTTGGCGCCGTGGAAAGATTCCCCGCCTCCAGTTCAAGGTGCCTGGGCGGCCCGCGCCAAGGCCGCAGCCCACGCCGACTCCAACACCACCCAGCAGCCCAGCCCTGACGGTGGATGGGAACCGTGGGCGTCATGGCCCAAGTCCCGCCGCCGCCGCGGCAACGGCAATGGCAGTGGCAAGAACCAAGAGGACGACTGGTGGGCCAACAAGAACGACACACCCAAGGCGCGCTCCGCAGAGGATATCCTTGCGGAGCTCCAGGCGATCGCCCCCCACATCGACAAGGCAGCCATCGACGGTATCAAGTCGCAGATTCCGCCGCCCCAGCCGCAGAAGCCAGCCGACCTCAACGACATCTACAGCCGCGCCCAGGCTACGGAGCGCCGCTGCAAGAACAACCTGGAGAGGCTACTCGAGAGCGAGCAAAAGGCGCTCAGCTGGTACACTGAGCGCAAGGCGGCGTCGGAGGAGGCCGCCTACAAGTTGGCAGAAGCCCAGGCCGAGGCCCAAGCCGCTCTCGATGCACTCCAAGTCGCTCGCAAGGGCGGCACGGCTACTCCCAAGGCCTCGCAGCAGAACCCAACGTTCAACCTCACCAGCCTCCTCGAGGACGGTGACATATCCATCGAAGCGGGTTCGGCGTTCGATCTCCAAGGCCTTGACATCGACGACAGCGACCGCCAGGCATGGGAATCCCTCCAGCAGCGCTTCGCCACGGAGCTCAAGGCCAAGGTCACCGAGCTCTTCGGCAACACCGCCAGCCGCATCAGCCAGCTCCGCGCAGAGGCCAGCACCATGCGCACGCGCTTCGCCTCCAAGCGGCAGCGGTCCGACGAGGACGGTCACGCCCGAGAGGGAGGTGGACCACCGCCCGCCGCATCGGCGGCAGCAGGCGAACCCCCAGCGGCAGCCGCAGCGGACGCTGATGGCTCTGCGGCCTCTTCGCCAGCGGCGCCAAGCGAGGAGCCTCCCGCACATGCTGCTGGCGCTACTTCTGACGGCAGCTCCGCCGCACAGCCTGTACCAGCGATCAACAAGGACCCCGACCTCGAGGACAAGGCACAGAAGATGCTCAGCCAGATGCGCAAGCCCACCGCGACCGCCGTGGCTGGAGCCCAGCAGCCTCTTTAGCCGACCACTACCCGACCCTGGATGGATTGGTGAGACGGGACGCCTACCGTCAGAGACCAAGAGCTACGACAACCCACCGATCATCAACACAATGGACGCAGTCCTCGACCCGTTCGACGAGCTGGCCGATTTGGACGCCCACATCGTTTTCGCAGCCACAGCGCAGTACGCTACCGCCCCGCCCGAGACGCTGTCCTCGGTTGGGGGCGATGAGGCGGCACAGGCCGTCGACACAGTGACATGGGACCCAGGGCAGCCGCGGCGTGCTGCGCGAGCCGACCCTGATGCCGCTCCGCCCGAGACGCTGTCCTCGGTAGGGAGCGATGAGACGGCCCAAGCTGTCGACAGGCACATGGCACAGGTTCCAGGGGAGCCGTTGCCAACGGCACACCCTGATGCCGCCCCGCCCAAGACGCAGTCCTTGGTAGGGGGCGATGAGATGGCGAAAGATATCGACTTGACCGCTGCGAGAGGCCCTTGGAAGCCCAGCAGCCCGAGACCCGACCCCAGACCCACCTACCAAGACGAAGGCCCTACGAATCCCACGCCGTCAGATCACTCCCTGTTCTTCTCCAACATTACTCAGTGGGGGCCACAGTCGGAGAAATGGCTGGCGGGGCCAGGCAAACAATATCAGATGGTGGCATTGGTTGAAACACACATCTCGCATGGTAAAGCCCCTTTCATATACGACAAGCTAGCAGCGGATGGATGGAGGATATCATCGACTACAGCCACGCCGACCAGCAGATCCGACGCAGGCAACACGGGTGGCGAGATTATCCTCTCCAGGTACCATGTCCAGGCCACAACCTTCAACCACCTCCGCGACCTCGCCATCTCCCAGCGCAGGCCCGACCCGTTCCGCGGCTTCACGCCCATGGTATGGCACAGACGCTCGGGCAACCTGGTTGTTATTGCAGCGTATCTGGAACCCCACAGGCAGATCGAGGGTACAGTGCA